CTGGCAGTCCACTGCTTTGGAAGTTTCCTCTTCCAGCATTGCATATGATCTAGTTTTTCCTTCAAGTTTAGGGGCACTTATCAGAAAGACACAAGAGAAAAATAATTATTAAGAAGACGCTTGGGTTTGTTACTCGTAGGAGGTGCCGTTGACCTTTGCAGAAGCCTCCTGGCTCTCCATGTGACTGTGAGGTGTGGGTGGCTGGTGGTGGCAGACCCTTCCATTACAGGAGGTGCTGGTCTACACTTAGAACATCAGAGCCTCCACAGGGGAGGTGCTCTGGTCTCCTTATCATCTAAGAAGGACATGGAACTGTTGGACTGAGGCCAGAGGAGGCCACCAAGTTGTTGATGATAATCCCTCCCCTGTGGAGACGGGATGGGGCTGTTGAGCCTGGAGAAGAGAAGGTTGTGTGGAGACCCCACAGCACCTTCCAGGATCTGAAGGGGCCAGCAGGGAAGCCAGAGTGACAGGACAAGGGGGAGTGAGTAAAAACTGAAAGAGGGGAAATTTAGGTGAGATATTAGGAAGAATTATTTTTCTGTGAGGGTGAGGAGGCCCTGGCACAGGTTGGGGCCACATACATGGGGTGCAGCCCCCCAAACCTCCACTTTGGGGGCTGCATGACCACCCTGGGAGGGCTGAGCTCCAGGACAGGCCTGGAAGGATTAAAGCTGCTGTGCCTGCCCTAATTCCAGCCCGTGGAGGGGGTGGCTTTGCTGCCAGCTGTGGCACACAGCCCAAATGCCAGCACTGATTGAAGCTTCCAGGCTGCAACCAAAATAATTACAATATGGATAATTGCAGCCACGTTATTTCATTAAAATTGTTCCTTCATTAAGTGCATATATTTGTGATATTGCCTAGGCAGTACAGAAGGGTGTGTTTCCTGTCTTGAAATAATTAGAGGCTCTCCACCTAAGCTCCACCTCCCAAGGAAATTATTTCTTACAGTTCAACTATTCTGTTTACTTAAGGGTATTTTCTCTCTTTTTGTGCTCTGACACCCCCAAGTTCCACATTAACAGATGCACAAGTGAATTTACTGTAGGAGAACTCCTTCTGACTGTAGATGGGTGTAGATGTTGTGTCTTACAGAAGCATTTGGGTTCCCTTGGGCTGTTCCATTTTAGGTTCTGGTGACGTTGGAAGCTGCTCTGGGTCAAACCCACGGGTGGCCACCTGATTCTGGAACAAGGAACTTCCTTCCTACAGACCTAATCCCTTGTTGGAATGGAACCAGCTGCATTAATTCTGGAGTGAGAGCACCAGCGTGTGGGCTCCATCAGGAATAGATCCATGGGTGGAGGAGGTTTAGATGGGATATTGGGAAGGAATTCTTCCCTGGGAGGGTGGGGAGGCCCCAGCACAGGTTGCCCAGAGAAGCTGTGGCTGCCTCATCCTGGAAGTGTCCAAGGTTGGACAGGGCTTGGAGCAACCTGGGCTAGTGGAAGGTGTCCCTGCCCGTGGCAGAGGGTGGAACCAGCTGGTCTTTAAGGTCCCTTCCCACCCAAACCATCCTGGGATTCTAAAGGCTGTGGAGACCCCGAGCTCACTGTTTTCTCCTTCGCTCATGGCCCTCAACCAGAAACTTTGTTTTCCCTCAATCAAGGGTCTTGATCTACAGGGAAAACCAGGCCTGAGCAGTGCCCCAGGAGCCACCAACCCTGGGGACAGGCTCTGCTCAACCCACACACCCTGCTGCTGCAGAGCCACCTCCACCAGCGCAGCTCCACCACAGAGAACCCCTTCAGAGAGTCGGGAAGAGGAGGAGATGTCTTTGGAGCATCATCCAGAGATCCACCCGCTCCAGTGGTGACCTGTGACTTGTGTGAAGCTGTGAGGAGAGCAGCTCTCAGTGCAGCACAGATGCACCTGATAAGCAGGAAGGCTTTGCTGTGTCTCTGGGCTGGGGGCAGGCAGGAAAAGGGGCTGTTGGGGCTCGGGAGCTACTGCTTTGTCAGGTTTTTCTCAAACCATCTCTGACAAGATTTTCTCTCTTTGCTTTTGTGCTGGGCAGGGTGGACTCATGTGTGGGCCACTGGCTGTGGGTTGGTTTGGTTGCTGAGGTGTGAGCTGTGGTGTCCAGCAGCACCGGGGGAGGTGCTCTGTGAGTGCCTTTGTGCCCAGCCAGCTGGGGACAATGCTCATTTTTAGGCTCTAACAGCAAAAAAAGGAAGTGAACTGTACAGTTAAATGTGTCAAAGTTTGCTGCTGCTTAACCCAGGCAGGAAAATCTAACAGTTACAGAGAAACGGGGAGGCTGCCCAGGATGTTGAGCAACCAGATGACAAAACAGCAAATAAAACCTGGTGCTGATAAAAATTCTGCTTAAGTAAGAGGAGCTGTAAATCAGCTCTTTTCATGCTGGAAGGAGGTATTTTGGGTTCATGAGCAGTGGCTGGTGATGGCAGAGGAGATGCAGAGGGCACTGGCCATGCTGGAGGACCTGTGCCAACGACCTTTGGTGTGTTCATGGTGCAAGAGGAGGGGACACCAAAGGGGTGATGAAATCTCCTGCAGCTCTAGGAGGTGGGGGGAGCCCATGGAAATGGGAGTGTAGGAAACACACCCAGAACTGCTCACACCAGCCCTGTGTCTGCCTTGTCTCATGTGTAAATAAGACTTATCAAAACCCTCGATGCTGTTTCTAAACAGCTTAAGCTGCCCAAGCGTCCCCCAAGACCTTCCCTGGCTCTGTGCTGCTGCCCCAATGGCTTTTCCTTTGGCCCAGCCCAAATTAAACCTAATTCTGTGCCCAAAAGCCACTTGTCACTTCAGCACAGACACTTGTCACTTCAGCACAGACTCAGCCTGGTGAGAGCATTGGCAGAGACCTCAGTGCTTTGCTCCTCAGTGATAACAGCCCTCTGGGGGGAGAGCTGCAGGCAGAGGAAATCCTTCATGCAGAGTAAAAGGGATGTTTTGGGGTATTTTTTCTTTTTTGTGTTCTCGGTTATGTTCTCATTCAGGTCCCCAGCCCTGTGCTGAGATTATTCAGATTGTAGTACTCAAAAATCTTTCCAGAGAAAAGATTTTCCTAGGAACCTCAGTTTCTGCTGGCTCTGAACAGGCTGATGGAGAACAAAGTCCAGGTGAGGGGTGTCACAGGGAGGGCAGGCAGGTCCCTCCTGAATCCATCTCCACTCCCACAGTGAGTCCACCCAACTTCCTGTAAAAAGAGATGTTTAATTCTAATCTGCATAACCCCCATTGCTGAGGCAGTGGCTGCACCCATGGGATTTTCTGGGGGGAAACATCAGCTTGTTGAGGTTTCTCTCACTGACCAATTTCTGAACTTCTGACACTGCTTTATGTAACATCTTTTTCCCCTCAGGAGCTAAAAGTAGCTCGGGGGGGGGGGGGGGGGGTGGCCAGGGCCATCCTGCCCCCCTCCCACAGGGACCAGAAAGGACAGTGATGGGCTTGATTCCTGCAGCTTTAGCAATTCCTGTTGTCCTGGGAAACCCACCCCTCTGCTTTTCTCCCCAGGTCACAAGAGGGAAGCTAAAATAATTTTGCAAAAGCATCTGGAACGTTCTGCAGGTGCTCCAGAGGCATCAGCAACCGAGGCGCTGCCACGTGCTGGTCCACGTAAGTGTGTGCTGGTGATGCAAAGGGAAAAATAGGCCAAGAACCACGTTTAAAAAGCATTTTTAAAAAGGTTTTTTTTTTTATTATATACAAGAGGAAATACAAAAATAAATATTTTTCTTCACTATGGTTAATGTATTACAATGTACTTTGTGGTTTCCTTGATTTAGCAGTGCTTTCTCAGCCTTCACTCAGGTATAGAAGTGGCTCAGATTCCCGTAGGGATGAGGTGGTGGAGTTTTGTTTTGTTATCTAGAAGAGTTTTTGAAAAGAAAAGGAGAAAATCTGTGTTCTGACACTCTCTGGGCTTCACATGCTTTTCCTACAATATTTATGTTTTTTCTATAAATTATAAAACAACATTGGCATAAATAAAAAGTCAGACTTGTCACAGCGTTTTAAGTTCCAAACTGTAACATTTCAAATGTTCACAGAAAAACACATTTTACAAGAAGGTGCAAATGAAATCCCAGACTCCCAAAGCTTCTGTGGTTTGATTTTGAAGAGGTTATTATTCAAAATACATCCACATTTGAGCCTTTCTTAGAAATCACTTGTAGCCTCTTGGGTGGCACCTCTGACTCTGCTCACAGGGAGTTCCAACGCAAAGTCTGGAAAGCTTTGGATCCTCTGACTGGGAATTAATCCTGCTGCTGTTAACGAAGAGTGGATGTGATCTGTGGGTCAGTTATCAGCGAAAGGGAAATAATTTGCCCCCTTTTTGGTGAGAAGAGGACCTGAAAGCCTGAATAAGCACCCTCCAGACACAGCCCCATACACGACATGGCTGCAAACCACATGGCTTTCCAGCCAGAAATGGGAACTGATGGCACAAGAACAGTGTCTGGAAGCTTCAATGACTGTGTGATTTGGGGGTCTGGCATTTGCTAAACCCCAAAAGGGAGGTTTCTTTAATTATTTAAATGGCAAGTCCTTTGGGGCCACTTTCTGCTCCGTGGTCAACGTGGCTGGAGGCTCCTGGCACGAGTTAGTCCCTGCTGGATTGTCTTGTGCTTCAGAAATATAGAATATTGTGTCAACCTGTGTAATTTTTTGGCTCAAATTCTTTCTGCATAGCAAGGACCCAAAATCTTTGCTGCCTCTTGCTGCAGTGTGTGACCAGGACACGGCTGGGAAGTGCCACAGGTGACAACGGGGCCTCGTCCTCCCCCTGCTCCAGCCTGCCCAGCTTAGCAATGGAAATGCTGTTATTTATGCTCAGAGAAAAATGGCAGCTGAAGTTGCACATCCTTGGGTTTTCGTGGGGTTTTTTTTTGTTTGTTTGTTTATTCCAACCCTCTCTGAAAGCAGAAGTTTGTCTGAGTGGTGGGGAGAACAGAGGGCCAAAGCCCAGAATGCAGTGAATCCCTGAAGTGCTGGCAGCTGTGTGGGGAAGGGCAGCGCTGCTATTCCGTGGTGTCCTCCACCAGCACGTCCCTGGAGTGTTTCCTGGCGTAGCTGAGGTGGTGGAGCTGGATGCTGTCGTGCAGATCCTGCCTGGAGAGGCGTCTCCTGAACTCGTCCGTAGTAAAGTAGTAGATGACGGGGTCGACGCAGGAGTTGAGGCTGGCGAGGCACAGAGCCACGGCGTGGAACACCGAGATCACCTTCTGCACGCACCCCCCCCGGATCTGCTTGGTCTTCACGAAGAAGTCCAGGGGGAAGCTGATGTGATAGGGTGCAAAGCAGATCAGGAACACCAGGGCGCAGGTGAGAATCATCTTCAAGGCCTTTTTCTTCTCCCCCAGGTCGTGGGAAGCGGAGTTGTTCGCTTTCAGCGACAGGGCGGTCTTCCACGAGCAGTACAGGACGATGAGCAGGGGTGTCACGAACCCCACCAGCTCCCCTATTGTCATCAGCGTGATGGAGGTGGGGAGGTCGAGCTCCTTGATGGGCAGATCCACGAAACAGGTGTTGTTGTTACTCTCGTCGAGCCTGAGGAGCGGGAAGGGCAGGCAGGCCACGCAGACCACGACCCAGCCCACGATGCTGACGTAGATGTCACAGACACGCTTGCAGTCGCTGAACCTGAAGGGGTGCATGAGGAACAGGTACCTCCTCACGCTGATGCACACCAGGAAGAAGATGCTGGCATACATGTTGACGTACTTCAGGTAGAAGCAGAGCAGGCAGAGCCCTCCCCCGAATTCCCAGGTGCCCGTCAGGTAATAGAAAATCCTCAGGGGCAGGGACAGAACCTGCAGTAAATCGGCAATGGCCAAGTTGATCATAAATATCACGGCCCTTTTAGTCTCCTTCATGTACCCGTAGAAGACCCACAGGGCCAGAGTGTTTGCTATGAGGCCAGGGACGAGGATGACAGTGTAGGTGACGGCGTAGTAGCGCTTCAGGTCTGTCTCTGTGCAGCTGGAGCTGTTGGTCATGGCTGTGCTCCGGGCCCTGGCACCAGAGCATGTCCCTCAGCGTGTCCTGCAGCCACCCTGTCCTCAGGTGCTTCAGTGAAGTGTTTTCAGCCCTGAAATCCGTGTGTGGGGTTTGGTTACTGGGTCCTTGTGGCCACTCTGGGGAGGAGCTTTGTCACTTTGGTGGGTGAGGGAGTTAATCCAAGCCCTGCTCACGTGCTGTGCTCATGCCCCCCGTCAGATGGAACCAGCCCCCGCTGTGCTGGCCTGCAGGATGGGCAGGGAGGGCATCCACGCTGGGAGGAGCATCACTGTGTGCCCAGGGGGGCAGGTCCTCACGGAGCTGTGCCTCTGTCACCTTTTGGGGGGCATTTCAGCCACTCCTCTCAATGCAGGAGTTCAGCAACTCGCGTGGCCCCGCAGCTGAAGAGAGAAAGGTGCAGTTAGAGCATTGGAGGTGGTCAGCTCTCCTCCTGCCTAGCAAGCACCATGCCTTGTCCAGTGGAGGTGTGAAACCACTGAGGAATAAATGGAAAATGTGTTTAATTTCTGCTACAAACCAGTTGTGTTGGTCTTCCTGTGCCCAGGCACGTGGCCGGTGCTGAGCTGCCTCCCCCCAGGCTGGCAGGGACACCTCACACTCCCCTCCTGTTTTTCCCAGGAAAGCCCTTCTGCAGGTTCAGCCCTCCCCACGGCTGGAGGTGACAGAGGGAGATGTGTTCCTTATGTAACACATGATGTGACACAAACATTTCCCACCAGAGCAGCCGCCGCGTCACGCAGGGGAAGTCACAGCTCGGTGGCTTTCACCAAACCAGGCTCAGCTTTTATCATTTCTGCTCCTGAATAGAACGTGAACCGTCCCTGCTGCAAGCAGGGACAACTGCCCACTTACTGCCCACCTTCTGCTGCACAGCAGCCTGCAGTGTGTTAAATCTGACTTTCTCACAGCTGCTTTTTCCAAGCCTCTCCTCCCCCACCCCGGCACTGCTGGGGCTGTTGGAAATACCAGACACCAGCACTGAGGGGATTGTAGGTGGACTTTATTGCAAATTGTTTGCACAGTAAAGAGCTGATGTTATCTGAATGTGTCAGACAAAAAAAACCTCAGCCAGCTCTGATAAACCTGGGGGAAATTCAGATCTCTGCCCGAACTCTCTCAGGTTTGCCTTTGTCTTCCACATGGAGAATTAACCTGCAGGTCTCAGTGGGAGAAGTTTGGAGGTAACGACCCAGATGCAAAAGGCACAGTTATTTAATTTTAAAGGGTTTAATTTAATTCTTTTTTTTTTCATTTGAAAGGTAAAAATGACAGCCTGCTGCAGTCCCTGCTGGTTTTTCCTGTGCTTTGAGGAGCAGGCATTAAAATGTGAACACTGATTAACGGTGCTGACGTTCAACACTTGTCGGTGTGATGGCACCGAAACTTTGAAGTAGCTTTGGGTGGAAACAGAAAATCTTCTGCAAAAGGAAATGGTTGGGGGGGTGAAGCCTTTCTGTGTCTATTTGTGCAGTTTCTCCTGCCTTTTCATCACCACTGAGTGATGAGTCCAAGGAGACTGAGACAATCTTCCTTCCTTCCAGGGGGTCAGCATCCACATAACCAGTGGAGCAAAATGGCTCCTGAAATAATCCCATTAAACTCCAGGAGCAATGATAAATAAGCCATAGAGAAATCAGCCTTCAGCTCAAAGACTTCCCAATTCCTTTAGCAATTCTCTCTCCAACTTCCAATGCACGAACCTTTAGGAATGTGAGCAATCTCTTCATCAAGCAGGAAAACTCCCTGGTGCTCCCCCAAAACCCCTTGGGTTTTATCCATCAGTGGGGGGTCACTTGGGCTGAGGGCTTTGATTTCCATTTGATGGGGCTTGACTGGCACATCCCTGGGAGTGTCCAGGGCCAGGTTGGACAGGGCTTGGAGCAACCTGGGCTAGTGGAAGGTGTCCCTGCCCATGGCAGGGGGTGGAATGAGATGTCTTTAAGGTCCCTTCCGACCCAAACCATTCCATGATTCCATCAGCTCCTTGCCTGATGTTGCTCTGAAGCAGCAGCAGGAGCTCAGGTGCCACCTCTCCCTGCCCAGATGGGTGTCCTGCTCCTGCAGGACAGCTGGCACTGCTGTGCCAGGCTGGGCACCACCCACGGGGCATCCAGAAGACCCAGCCAAAGGTGGGGACCACCGAGGATGCTCCCCCAGAAACAGCCTTGGAGCTCGGGGAGAAGGGTACAAAACCTCAGCAGTGTGAGAAACGGCGCTCTGGAAATCCCAAACAGCAACATCACAGAGTTCAGCCCCACGTGCTGTGTAAGAACCAGCAGGAGGCTAAAAAAAGCTCCAAAAAGAGGAAATTTTGTATCGTGTGCTCTGTGCTCGCTTCCCCCCAGCACAGGGGGGGAGGGCAGAGGCTCTCCCCAGGCACGGTCCCCTCCTTCCCCTGAGTGGCTTTGCCAAGCAGACCCCCCCCAATCAGCCACGTTGGGGCACCGGATGAAGATTTTGTGCTCAATGAGGCAGAGGCAGCAGGCAAAGTTTGCAGCCAGACTGAAAGCAGCTCGTTAGAGCTGGACGTGCCCTGTGTACACATTCCCCGTGTGCTGGAGGGCAGCCCCGTGTCCGTGAGCTCCACCTGAACACCTGCAGGGGGTGGGGATGTGGGAGCAGCCATCAGTGCTCACACCTGTGGGCTCTGCCCCGTGCCCTCATCACAGCCCATCACCCCCCCCAGAGCCCATCAGAGCTCAGGATCCACACCTGAGGGTGCTTAAAAACCCGGGGTCAACCCAGGGTCTCGTTAGCAAATCCTGAGGGTTTTAGCCCAGTGAAAGCCCCTTAAACCCAGCTGGGTGGGGAGAGGTTTGAAATCCAACCTGGGGGAGGGCAGTTCATGGTCAGGCACAGTTTGGGGTGCTGTCCCTGCTGTGGCACTGTGCCTGGAACACTTCTGGAGCTCAGGTTCCTCCAGGAGCTGGGATGCTGTCCCACACCTCCTGCTCCTTCCCAGAGCCAGGGTGAGCGATCAGCCTGGATGGATCCTGCCCCCAAGCACTGCTGGCACAGGTGAGTTGTGGGTGCAAAGCCACCCTGTGTTCTTTTTGGGGCTGTATTTATGCTGTAGGAACAAGTAAAGCCTGTGCCAGAGGTGGCCTGGGCACAGCAGCACCACCCTGCCCCTGGCTGACTTACCCTTCTGGGGGGAGCTGGGCTGTGCTGCTGCCTGGCACCTCTCTTCTATTTTGCCTCCTTCTCCTCCACAACCTAAAATAAAAGCAGAACATGCACATGGGTTACACCAAATGGAAATTCAGTTTCCTGCTGATGCTGTGCTGGTGGAGGTGGAGTGAGGGTGGCTCTGCCTCCCTGTGGGTTCTCTGGGGGTGTGGGGACAGGGCCAGTGGTGTCCTGTGCTGGGCTTCTCCCAGTGCCCACTGCTTCTCCAGCTCACCTGAAGCGCTGCTGCCCTGTTTTGGCAGAGGGAACTATTAGTAACTGGTGGGTTTTAACTAATAATAGGTGTTCCCTGAAAACAGAAATCACAGAAACAGAGACTGATCATTGCACAGGTTTTCTTTTTGATTCTTTCGATTCACGTCAGGGGGGGATGAAGCCTTCTCTGCCTTGAAACAGTTTCCTTGTAGATATTTGTGGTTTGTATCTTCCTCCAGAGGGGCAATACTGCCCTTTGCTGTGTTAACTGAATTCCAAGAATATGCAGGAAAATGTGGTGGGATTGTTGGGGGGGTCCTGTGCAGGGCCAGGAGTTGGACTCGATGATCCTGATGGGTCCCTTCCAACTCAGCACATTCTATGAAATGCTCTGCTCTAATGCCATATGAAATACTCTGCTTTGGCCTTTTAATCCTTTGCAAAAGCTCTTGTCCTCCTTTGTTAATATTAATCTTGGTTAAGAAGGGGAAAATAACCCAGAGCAGCCGTGCAGTGCGTTATCCTAAATCCCCCAGCCCTCTCCTCCCTCCCTGGCACACCCCAACGCTCCTGGGAGATGTTCATGGCAAGGAGCACTAAAGCTGTGAGTTTTCCACCCAAGCCACCAGGGCACATCCCCCAGGCAGGGGGGGGCCATGTCCCTGGGCTGTGATAACTCTGCCTCCCCCTTCCCTGATTCTTGCAATTAAGTGGAAAATGACCTGTGGAAAATCCATGTGGTGCCTCCTGTGAGGAACAGACCACTTGGGAAAATCCATGGAACAAATAGCGTGAGACAAACCCAAGGAAAACCCGGAGGAGTGAGTGAATTGGGTCAGTTGTGGGGATGGGGCTGTGTGACCTCAGAGTCCACTTACAGAGAAGTCCCATCGCAGGCAGCTGTGGGTTTGCACAGGCTGAGAATCACTGGATTTAATGTTAATCCTTAAACTCAGCTTCTTGATACTCACATGATGATAGCAGAAAATACAGTTTGGGCTTCAGGGCTGGGTGTTTTGGCTCCTGCCATCCCCCTGCTCTCCCTGGGGTACCCAGAGCATCCGTGAGCAGGCACAGGAGCTCGCCCTTCCAAAACAGGAGTTATTGGCTCCTTACCTGTACCTTACTCTGTGTCTCCTCACTTCTACCCACTAACTTCTGGAGATGCACAGGGTCGGTGTTAAGTCAGGACCCCCCTGCCCCTCCCTGGGGTGCCCCATCCCCTCTGAACCCTCCCAGTGCCCGCGAGAAGCGGCACCGGCTCTGTCACAGTTACCGAAAACGAGCCCAATTTAAACCCTATTGCTGGAACCAGAGTTAGCTGGGATAGAGGAATCAGTCCTACCTCTGCTGTCCTGCCAGGCTGCTCTGTGTGCCCCTGTGGGTGCTGCCAGCAGGTCCCACCGTGGGTCCCTCCCTCGCCGTGCAAAGCAAAAGTGCAACTGGAGGAGCTGCGGCTGCGCCCGCGCAGAGGAACGGGGTGGGAGGGCACTGCTTTTGGGGTGCTCCCCCTGCCTGGGCCCTGGCTGGACTCTCCTCCTCTTTCCTTTTCTATTTTTGTGGCTATGTTGTCTGTATTTGTAAAGGTGCTGCTGGTTTCGGGGTGTTTTGGGAACTGTTGCCCCTGGAGCTGCTGGAGATGGGGGGTCTGGGGGGGACTCGACCCCTGGTAAAGCAGTGCCAGCTCCCAGGGGCAGGTGCCCACTGGCAGAGCCCCTCTGTGAGGGGCACGGGGCTGAGGGAGGGAGATGCTTCATCCATTATTTTCCTTCCCCTTCACTCTCACCTGGGTGTTGTTACCCCTGTGCTCTGGGGGGGCTTCAGAGTGTCCCCCTGGTGCTGATCGTGGTCAGGTTTGGGCTCCTCCAAAAGCAGTGGATTCTCCACAGTTATTTTCTTATTCAGTTGATTTCATGGAGCAAACCAGGGTGAGAGCCGAGGCCTCTTCTTCCCCAAGTGTGCCATGAAGTGGTGTCACCCATCCCCAAGTCCCAGAGCCATCGTGGTCCCCATCGGCAGAGGGCAGAGCTGGCTCTGGTTTGATTTTCAAAAGCAGCACTTCCCTGGTTATCCAGCTGGGGACTCCAGCTCAAGAAACATTAGAATTACCACTTTTTTAAGATCGAGAGTGATCACTGAATCTCAGTTCAATTAGTTAATTTGAAAGAGTGACTTTTTTAACCATTTCTGTAGCAATTCAACCTGAAGTGATTTGCAACTTTGTAATTTGCATTTATTCATTTTTCTTGCATGTCTGGTCAGGAAGAACAGGGCACATACTTTGCAGCATGATTTGGGCAGAGGGTTTCAGCCCTGCAAAGGGTCACACAGGCAGAGAGGTGCTCCCGCTGCTGTGTCCCCACCCCAGCATCTCACACCTGCAGCAGGGTCTCGGTGCCACCTACACCTTTCAAGCACCATTGATTTACTCAGATCACAATTCCTATTTACAGCAGGGGTTTGTAGCTCTCTTTTTATTGTGATTTAAAGGAAATGAATCTCTTGGGCACATTGTGGGCTCTTTGCAGCCTTGCAGGGCACGGGGTTTGTCACCCCTGTGGTGACACAGCTCCCCATGGGATCAGACCTCCCAGAAATGCAGCCCTGGTTAAAGCTTCCAGCCTTCTTCTGAGGCTGCTGATGACTTGATGTGCCTTAATTAGTGTAGTGTGGGAGCCAGAGCTTTGTCCCCTTGGTGCAGGGCTGGGTTTCTCTCTGATGCTTTTGGGTTGGCAGCACTGGGGGTTTGGGGTTTAGTGCTGAAATGGGATCTCCTGGGATGAGCTCTGAGCCCTCAGCAGAGGATGCTGCCTCAGGTCACGTCAGTCCTGGGGTGTTTCCCTAAATTTTGGCAGGATCTGCGATGTGAAACGTTCCCAGCACCTCCCAGCAGCTGCCTCTGCCACTCTCACACTCTGCAAAGTGTGGTGATTTGGTGATGTAGTGTAGTTTCACTGTAGTGATTTAAAGAAAAACCTTTTTACTTCCTCTCCCTCACCCCAGAACTATGTGATGTCACCCCTGGGTGGTCCCCAGGCTCTGTCCCTGCCCTCCCCCCCAGCCTTTCCCTGGCACTCCCTGGCTCCCACAGGGACTGAGGGGGATGGTTTGGAAGTGACTTTAATAGACAATAAAACTGAGGCCAGTCCCAGGAACAGCAGAAGGACCAACCCCTCGTGGCTGAGCACACCTGGCCTTGGGGATGGACTCCTTTGCTTTTCCCACTCATACATGTGATGGATTCTCCACTTCACTTTCATTTCCCCAGGAACCTGTTTAGGAGAAAGCAGAGGCTGAGTGGCTGTGCTGCACTGAGAGAGTTTTTGTTTCAGAAACACCTTTCAGAGCGCAGCCATATCCTGTTTTGCTGGTCCCACTCTCTGTGTGCATCATCACCAGCATCCACCCCATTTCCCAGCACTGCAGGAGCCTCCCTGGGGGCTGTGGGTGGGAGCTGAGGGTGCCTTTACTGGCAGCACCGGCCAGACCCTCCCCAATCCTTCTGTAGTTGAGGCCACCAGAAATCAGGAGGACCTGGAGCTGGGCACCAAATCACAAAGCAATTATTTTACAGCACAAGACAAAATTTTATCTAATGGTTGTATTTTTCTCTAATTATTATATTTTACCTTTATGCACATTTTTATTTTATAAGAATTGGAAATTTTCAGGTTAGCTAAGAAGGTCCCTCGTGACCTTGTAGGATTTCTTTAGGGAGAAGCAACCAAGGAAGGCCCTTCTGATCTGCAGAGAGTCTTTAATAGCAGTAATTCCTGGGACTGGGTTGTGTGTCTGCTCTCCACATGGCTGGTGATGTCCCAGGGGAAGGGCAGGAGTGTGTCTGGAGAGGGGGATGCAGCTGGGCTTGCACAGAGCCAGGGATGCAGCCACGGCTCTGGCCCTGGGCTGGGGCTGAAATCCTCTGCATCCTCCTGCCCTGCCTGCCTAAGGCAGGGAATCTTTCTTTACAAACCAAAAATCCCTCCTGAAGGAGCAGGACTGAGCTGGGGCAGCGCCTGCTGGAAGGGACCTCCTGGCTGGGGTTTTGGCTGTTCCTGGCAGTGCCAGGCACCCTCACAGTGCTGAACGTGGCTGTGGCATCCAGGCAGAATTCCCAAATCCCCTCCCTGTGCCCCCAGGAGGACCCTGCAGCACAGCAGGGACTGACAGACACCCCTGGGGCTCTCTCACCCACCACACCCCGTGGCTGGGGCTGTGCAGGGTGGTGCTGGCTGAGCCCCTGGATCCAAACATTGGATTGGGGTCTGATGAAATCACGGTTGTCTGGAAAACTGCTCCCTGGCTTGGAGAGCCGCTCCCTGGCTCGGCTGGGCTCGAGGCAGCAGAATTTGCTCTCTGTGTGTTTGGGCTGTGCTCAGCACTGAAGTTTGTGTTGGTGTTTGTTCCTTTGCCAGGCACAAAACTTCCCGCTCTCCAGCACGAGGTGGGTGGGTGGAGAAGCTGCTCCCTGCCAGCAGTGGTGGCAGAAATCAGGGGAGTCTGGTGCCAAAAATCAGGCGAGTCTGAGGCTCGCTGCTGGCTCAGTGGTGTGAGCTCTGCTGGGGCTGAGTGGTTTTCCAGAGGCAAAGTCACTTGGGGGCTGGACTGGAAGTGTGTGGTCATGGAGGGAGGATAAAGGTAATTTTAGCAGAGAGAAAAGCAACTTCCCTCCTTCCCTGTGGGGCCCTGGAAAGTGTCGAGCACAGGGATGTCTTCTTGGATACTCCCAAGTGCTGCATCTGTAGGGATATGTAAGTGTAGGGATTGGTGGGATATTGGGATACCAAGGG